TGTTTATTCATATGGCACTGTATAGCTGTGTTTTGGGCAGGAAAGACACTACTTCCACCCCAGAAGTATCAATTTGATCTAAAACTGGGAGGACTTAGGAACTGAGGACCCTCCTTCTCACGCCAGGTGTGGAGTTAGTAACATAGCCCACGCGTTTGTTTAAAAGTGTGTGTGTGTATTTATCGGTGTTGGGAAGGATCTTTGCTCTTCCCTTCCAGCTGAATTGGGTGTGTCATGCAGGTAACAGCCCAGTGTCGAATCTGGGCCAGGGACTTTTGGGAAGCCAAGTGGATGACTGTCATTCAGTGCTGAGAACAATGGAAAAGCTGTTCTTGATTTGCCTTTGGAAGGGGTCCTTCCACCAAAATAGGTGAGACTGTTCTAATCTTCATTCAGCAAAATCCTCTTACCAATTTGTTTTGAGTGAGATATTGGAAAATTTTGTTGAGCCCACGCCAAAACTGGAGCTTTTTCTAGAATGCACTTTCTGCTGTTAGAAATGCTAGATACATTGGAAGAATAGCTGGGAGCACTTTGTCTTTCTTTTAACCTGTTGATTGACAAATGCTCCCAAATGGATTTTTTGCAGCTTTCTTAAAGGAACCTGTACACAAACATCAAAATGGTAGAGAGTAATAGAGTATTTAAAATTTAGATTCAAAAGATTTAGGACCACGAAATAAAATCCTATCTGCAGTAGGGAAGGCATCATCCATCTCTGCCCTGTCAGCCATAGTTAGAGTTTGTTAGCTCCTATTAAACTCTTTGCAGATATGAAATCCTCTTTTTAATTCTAGGCAAGTAGCAAATTGCTTAAAAATGTAGAAGCTGCCCTAATGTGTATGCACGCTTGCTTCTGCCTTCAGCTTTCAAGCATCTGAAGGCATCCATTAGGTTAGTTATCATGTTAATAAGTAGATTTTAGAAATGCAGCATATTCACAGCTCTCACTTGGACAAAAACTCAAGTGATTAGAGGCTTCTGTCTAGATATATCAGGGAAGTGACCTCCATCCCTGAAAGTGTAACTTTGATCTCATTTTGTCTGCCACACAAAGAGAGAGGGGAATCTTAGTGCCCTGGTAGCAAGTAAAATTGAAATGTACTTGGAAGATTAGAGATGGCTCTGTCTGATACTGAATTCCCATGCCTGGTGAAGAAAGGTGAGGGTGGTTATTGCAGGAGATGCATTTTTCTGGGGACAAAAAAGGAAAAAAGGAAGCAGCCCTTCTGGGGCTGCTCAAGGTAAGCAGAGAATTCTTGTCCGTGTTATTACACATCCCCCAGCCCAGATTATGGGTAAGGTTGTCCATGCACCATGTGGAGACACAGAGGACTATCTGTCAGTCATGTATGAGGAGCTGGGGGCTCTTTGTGGTAATAAGGGAAGTTCTAGTTAAAAAAATTAGACGTCAAACTGAAGGAATGGTGATTTCCCTGCTTCAGCCCTTCTTTGCATCCTGTTAAATCTCCTCTGCCAGAGATGACTCATCCCTGAGGTTCATAAAAATACTTCTGAAAAGCTGAGAGGTTTTTTTCCTCCTTTTTTCTTTTCTTTTTTTTTTTTTTTTTCTTTTTTACTGTTGAAGTGGACTTATAGCTCTGAATATATATTTACAAAATTATTCCCTAAGGATATTTCATAATCCTGCTCTTTAATTCCATCATACTTTTAACATAAATATAAGAATGTCTGTGGCACAGGGGATACAATGTCAGCAAACCCTGAAATTATGTTCAATATTTTTGGAGAAATGACAGGAATCTCATTTTCTGTTGTGGTAACTTGGTAGACATAGGCTTATCTAGGTTGCATGCTTATTGCCAAAGAGAAGACCACTGCCTACACAGTTGGGTGGGGAACATCCTCCTTTTTAGTATGGGGTCCTATTGGGGGCATCAAAATCCTCCAGTGAAAATAATGCCTTTTTCTCTTATGTGGAAAGAGCTGCTGCAGGCCAGCATGGTGAGCACTCCCCATGGTCACTGGGGTAGTCCACCTGTTCTGCAAGGTGTTGTCATGTCGTGTGTGCACCAGGGAGTGGAGGAATTTGCTCCCCGAGCATTTTCTGTGCTGTATTATCCATCAGGGCTGTGGTAGGGGAGCTGACCGGGAGTTTTGTGTGCAGGATGAGTCACAGCAGGCTCAACCTGCTGCAGATGGGGCTACTCAAAAAGCCCCGGCCCCCAAGAGTCTCTAAGTGGCAGCGCAGGTGACGACCTAAGCAGTTTTCTTCCCCGTGGAAGTGAACAGCAGCCAGTCAAGTGGCATCTTGGAATGAGTCATGGCTGTACTGAGCAGCATCATTATTTTTGGGAATTAACTGACGGAAGCATGTGCCCATGTATTTTAAAGGGCCTAACAATAAAATCTACACCATTATGACCAAATTTCACTGAGTTTGGCAGAGAGCAGACAAACTGTGAAGTTTCTATTTGCAAATGCCTTATTGATGTTATTCCAGTGCTTCTACCATTATCTCTTGCACATTCTCTATCCTTCCCTGCCACACATTTAGAAAGTAAATAAGCTCATCAGACACATGTTCCATTTTATGAGAGCAGAGATGCGCACAAGAGCGCGAATGAATATGAATAGCCCATTTTTGGCACTACCCAAGCTTTGGAGCTGATTTGTATGACTCAGAAATAAATACTGTGCTAAAAGGGCTCCTCCATAAAAATATGGATGGTGAAAGTAATGGGGAAAGGAGAAAACATCCTTCTCAGAAAATGGCTCTCCCTGAGACAGCTTCCTGAGACATGTGGCAAGTTTTGATGTGGGCCTGGTTTGCATGGCAGCACTTTGGGCTTGCTGACAGCTCTCTGCCCAGGGAGCCAAGCCACTGCTTCACACTGAACAAATGTCTTCAGAATGCAGAAAAAAACAGACTTGTCTTTGAAGGGAACAAAGATGAAAGAGAGTCTATAAAATTCTCAGCAACTGAAAATAAATAATTTTAAAAGCCATACAGAGCTTTAATTTCCTTTCTGTTTTGGTTATGTTTTGTTTTGTTTTGTTTTTATTAACACTTTCCCCATTTCACACTCTCAGTCTTAAATAAGAAAGTGGCCTTGAATACTGCATTTTCACACCTGACAATAAAAATTATTAGACTAGTTAGCATTATACATGAACTGGGAATGACTGTAAGCCTAATAAGGCTAGGAACACCCCTAATATTTAGGTTTTTACCTGTGTCTGCTTTTTAGGAATGATTTTAAATCCTACCACATAGGCCATAATCTTTTCACCTTGCTACCAGACCATGGGAAATCATCCATGCACCAGGGTTGGTGTAAAATGGGCACCCAGAAAGCTGTCAGTTGTGCTGGATTGTCATTCCAAATACATAAAGAAAAGGGCTTTTTTTTTCTTTGCAGTATTTTGGTGCCCCACGCTTTTTTGGTAGAAGGGCTGTGCAGAAGCCCATAGGCACATCTCTAGTACTGTGGATCCCAGATCCTCCCCCAAAATCTAGCTGAGGAAATCAACTGGTTTTCGTTAATTCTTGGAGCTCATGGAAGGGTGAATAGAAACAGAATCCATTTGTGAGAGATGGGAGATGCTTCTCTGCTGGACTATGAATGCTATTTTGATAACGGCACTGGGTTTGCAAGGCTTCCTCTATCGAGGTGCTAAGCCAGTCTACAGGTTATCAATTTATTGCACACTAAAAATGATGTGTAGGATACCCCAAAGAGATCCCAGAGAGATTGTACCTTCACAGACCATGCCTTCAAATGTTCACTAGTGGCTACTCTGACCTTGTAGCAGAGTAGATAGAAGTGTGCCAAGACAAGAGGGCCTTAAAATCCATACTTTGTAAGGCAGATGCAAAAGATGTTGAAAAAGTTTATTTTAAAACTGTCTTTATTAAATCACAGCCAAGCATTTCTGAAGAGTCTTGGGAAAAAGAGAAGGCTTGAGCACTGTCTGGACCGACTCTGTCCAAGCAAGGAGAGGAGGAAGGTTTTGGGTGACCTCTTACCACAGCACTGGTTGATAATGCTTTTTACTATTGGAGATTAATGTGACAGGGTCAAGAGTTTTATTTAGTAAGTCTTTACTCCTTACTTTATTTTGGTGTGTTTTCTCCTAGAAGATTAACTAGAAAGCAGTGTCCTACAGTGAATAAATACATCATAAGAACCAGAAACTTAGAAAGGCTTCATACCTGATCAGCCTTTGAAGTCCTGCTGCATGAATAAAACAAGTCTTTGAGAGAAATAGTGTGAACTTTGTGTCCAGCTGCCACACAGGAGGGAGCTGAGAAGAGGGCCTGGGTCTGACTATGAACCTGCTGTGCCATAACCCTGGGTGGGGAGGAAGTCACCTAGTGATTCTCTCAGGGTGGATGGGCAGGGGATGCCTGGTCTCAGGGGCTTGCTGGCCTCCAAAGAGCACCAGCAGGGAGGAAAGGAAGGAAAGGAAGGATCTGTCCTCAGGTCCTGGGCTGTCAAAAATGGATTTTCAGAACCTGACTGCTAAGCTATTGCTTGGTCTTAAGTGGATTCAACCAGAGGCTCTTGAGGGTTTAGAGAGTCCTTGTTCCATGGAGGAAAATGCTCACTACAATTACTCACTGGTTCACTGTGGCTAGAGAGTGAGTAAAAGGCACAGAGTGATTTTTCTGTAGCGGGCAGCAGGTTTTTGGTGTGCTTGTTATAAGTCTCTGGTCCCTCCATGAACCCAGGGTTAATTTAGGAAGCAATTAATCTTTTGCATGGGGGTATCTCTAGTGGCTTTGGGGAAGGCTTTGTAGATCTGCAGAGATCGGTGTGCACGTGGTAAAACGCCAAAATGTCCCTTTCCTCCTGAAGGGAAAAGAGCCCATGTTTGAGAGAAGATCCACTCCAGACCACCCCAGACTATGTCACAGCCCTGCCATGGCACATCCTGGCACTGCCAGCCCTACCTGTCCCTGCCCACCCCCTGGGGTCCCCCCACCACTCCAGGCCCTGGCCCCCATGTCACTCCCTGGGGCCATCAGCCCCTGCCCCATCAGCACTACAGCAGAGCCAGTCTCCAGCTCCCCACAGCCCTACCCTGCTGGCCATTGGTCCTATCAGCCAAGCCCAGCCATAGGGGCACATCCCAGCCTGAGAACAGGCTCTTGGTAACCAGTGAACACACTGCAGGTGACATCCCAGCTACAGGGTCCCCTGGCTACTTCCTGTCATCACAGTTCTCCTGCTGTGCTGGCATCTCCCAAGTCAGGGAAGCAATACCTGGCTAGGTTGGGAATGCCATCATCCATTAAACTTCCAGCAGAAGACTTTTCTCTGAGAGCTGGTTGCTAATTTGAGACAAGTTGTTAATGAGGTGCAGGTATATACCCTCAGCCAGCTGTCTTGTACCATTTTGTTCCCTGGAATTAGGTGTGGCATTCACTTCCAGCACCCCTGAAGGCAGTATGCTGGGGTTTTGGGTTTAAGCATGCTGGGCTTGAACTAACAAGGCAGCAGCGTTGCTACATCTGCTCCGTCTGAAGCTGTATGATACTAATTCATTTTCATTTTCCTCCTACAGCTTCAGCCACTGGAAATAAAGGGGTGTAAAGAACGTCATTCCTTGTCATTGTGGTTACAGAAAATCCTGGAAATGCAACTGAGAGTACATGTAGCTTCAAAAATCAGGAACCGAAACAAACAAAACCGTGCAACATTTATTAATAAGTTTCAGTTAAGTCTCCCTGGTTTCAAGCCCAGTCACACGATTTCTCTAGGGGGAGGCAGGAGGAAAGTGAATTTATGACTGCTGAATGTTTGAGCCTGTCAGAATTGTATTGAATACTACAAAAAAGTGGATGGCTAGAAATACATTTGGGTGTGAATAAGCTGTTTCCTCCACAGGTCTGGTTTACACTGGCAGGGTGTGCTTAACGCTTGACTGGAGAAAAAAAATGTGACAGACAGGATGGTTTCTTACAAGCTCCTCAGGGAATTTAAAGACAAGCTCTGTTCTTCTTCCCTTTAATTCACCCTCTGGTCACCGGCAGAACAATTTAGATTCAAGCTTTGGGTTTAGGAGAATTTCTGGTAGAAGGGGAAGGGTTAATTTGTTTACTTGTGGTTTTCTATTTATTTTGTTTTACTTTTTTATGCCCTGATGTGAATTATCCGTTTTGGCAAGTCAGTGAGAACAGTTGCATGTACTTGGTATTTTCTGTCACATACACTATTATTAGTAAGAAACACATTTCCTTTTGGGGCGCTAAGGACAAAAATAAGGCTGTTCACATCACCACCCCCCTTATTAACTCTGTTAAAGCAGTCGTGCTGGCATTTAAGAGAACTGGCAAATGCATTTGTTCAGCTGCAAATGTGATGCATTCAACGTTCTTTTCACATGAAGAAGAAAACAGGGGCTTTTAAGCACAGGGAATATAATAGCCAAGCTTTGGTAATGATTTCTAATATTTTAAAGAGAGGAGAGGGGAAAAAGATCTCATTTACTTGTTTCAGTTTGAAGGAAAGGGAACAGCTCTATTACCGAAAATCTCCTCTGGAGCTTTCAGTGCTACTTGGTGCACATTTTCTCTCCATGTGCAGACAGATCTGCCATCAGTGGCAACTCATTGGGCTGTGGCTTGGACTTTGTGTGCAATATGGACAGTATTGCTTCATCACCTAAGCACAAGGACAGGACATGTCTCTGCAGCACAGTTTATCCATTTCTAGGGCAGGATAACTTTTCTAAGAATGAGTCCTGTCATGATGCCCAGATGCTGTTGAGCTCTTTTCTTTTGTCTGCAGTGCTGTCTATCATCAGTCATACCAGCATGGTGGGTCATTGGGTCATCTTGGGTACCCAAGCAACCCAGATCATGCGGTGCAGAAATTTGCTTCCTTTCAAGGTTCTTTGGTCACTGGCATTGGTTTTAAATTTGGCCCAAATTAGGTTGATTTGAAACTGTTGCAGTGTTTTCCAACTCTATCATACTTCCTTTTCTACTGATACTGATAAAACAGAATTCTTTGACTCTCCAGAACAGACTTCTTGTGCTCATCCCTCACTACTTGGTACTTATCTACTTGTCTCCATTTGTTGTGGAGAAAGCTGGCGGTTCTAAATCCAAGTAGGGGTTTAATGTTGCCTTTCAACATTGAGAGGAATGAAATGCAGTGGTGGAAAATGCTACAGTAACTGATGTACAGGACACTTGTTTATTTTTATTTTTTTTAAACCAAAAATGCCCAAGAAGCTGGTAGTGATAGCAAGCAAAATCTTTCTGGCTGATGGGGACAGAAAAGTCATAGAGATAAGGCAAAGAGACAGAGAAGTTTACTTTACACTTAGCAATGAGGTATTTTTTCCATCTGTTTCAAGGACTTTGGTCTTCATCCACCAGTCTTTATATATATATATATACTAAATAGCATTTAGCAAGTGGCTTTTAAAATAGGGTGAACTTTTGCAAAGGAAGTATTTATAGAAGTAGCTATTTAGTTAGTAATTTTCGGTATTCATTTTGCTATTGCTGAATATATGGAACAGGATTATTCACCCACATTACCCAGCTGCTTCTGTTTGATAACACAATAAAGATTGCGAGGTAAGTGTCTTTCCGTGGTAATGACTGTGATGTCACGATTCATGTGATGTCACAGGTATGAAGAAGTGGGCTCCTTAAGCAAGAGTTGTTTTTGAGACAGAAAATCCCAAAATATAAATGTCTTGCATTATTGGTCAAATGGTAGATTAAAATGCAATTCAATTAAGGAATATTGCAAAAAATTAATTTTCTGTGACGCACTTGAAAAATGCTTCCCGATATTGGAGTTCACTAAAAGCACAATAGTACCTTATTAAAAGAAGCTGTGGTACATTTCCAACTATTCTTTTCCTGTGGATGAGACTTGGTGACTCCAGAAGTTTATAGAAGGTGATACATTACAATGCCTAGCAAAGAATATGTTTGGGGGGGGTGGGGTTGGGATTTTTTTTCATTTAGCTTGCTGGCAGTTGCCAGCTGAACTGGATATGCACTTGCATTTGGAAGTTCTCTGACCTCCCTGTAAGCTGTGACTTACAGAATTGTAAACTTGACACACATTTGGATAAGATTTTTCTGGTTCTGCAGATCTGTGGAGCTGCAATGAAGCTATGCAAGGGAATATTCAGAAATGTAAGTTTTAAGTGAGGTGTACAAACCAGTATCACTAGATGCTTCAGTGGGTGTTTTGTGTAGAAGTCCTGTAACATTGTTTGAGTTGATCTAACCCAAAATGCTATTGGTTCTTCTCTTCAGAAGCCCATTGAGATAATGTACCATTTCTCTGTCTCAGTAATGGGAAGAATCTCTTGAGCTGGACGTGTGCATCACACAGCTGGCTCTGAACTCTGCGCTGGATAATAGGCAAACTTGCCTCTCATTCATTTGCAGCTGAAGACTGGGACTTTTCACTGCTCTGTGACATCAGGTCAGCCTCTTTGGTCATCCATTGACCAGCCTCAGCTGGCTTTTGGGATCCAGAACAGGGCAGAGACCATGCATGCCAAAACCTTGCTGGTGAGCATCTCAACAACTAGCAAAGCAACCTCTTCAGAGGCACACTTCCAGGACATAACCTTCACCAGTGCTGCTATTTCAACACCCAACAATTTGGTGTTTTGAGCTGATACTTGAAAGTCTGATTCTTACTTTGGAATTCTGCTATAATGCTCCAAATCTTCTGTTTGGTTCTCCCAAGCCTGCTAATATTATCCCAGTCCTGTTTCTGCAGGTGACACACATGCATGTATGATTAACTGGTAATGAGCTAAATGGTCTCCACTGACAGAAACATCTACTTTTGTCTTTCTCCACGTGGTGGAACAGCACATGAGCTGCTCTACAAGAGAGCATCACTTTATACTAAGGGAAATATGCTGGGTAAAATCCATTTAGGATTTATCTTTAGAATATCCACAGATGTCTGCTCAAGTTTTCCATTTCGTAAACTTTTGTAGTCAGGCTGAAAATGTAACTGCAAGTGAGAAAACTCATAGATATTTTATCTCTTGGATCAAAGACTATGGACAAGGCAGAAAAAATTCCAGGAAATTTTTAACAGCAAAACTCAAATACAGGACGACAGCTGTTAAAGACTTCCTGGTATTTTTTTAACTGAGGATCTTCTCCAGCAAGGTCTCCATTAATACAATGTCCCCCAGTGCTATGGATCAACCAGCTGGCTCCACCAGTGAACTGACTGCCTTTACACTGACATTGAATGCTCATAATTGAGAGGAGGTTGATACCCGAAAAGTATGTCTTGAGGTGGCAGCACTCGTTCAATCTGACCAAGAAATGATCACAAAAAGCAAGAAGAAATTATGCCCTTGGAGAGTCTGCTTGGCTGACAAGCTGTGATATCTTCAAACTCTCAGACTAACCCCACACTGACCAGCTAGAGCTTGAGATGCCAGAAGGAGCCTGCCTCTGGGATAATTCATGGCTTTGAGTGCTGGACAGACAGCACACAACACCATGGGTAAGCTGCATGAGGCCAGCACTTCTGGAATGACAAGGCAGAGAGAAGAACTGCTGGAACTGAGTTTTCTGGGAAAATGGAAACAGGTAAGAGAGGAAAGTAGAAAGTCAGCTTTAGGTCAGCTCTGCAGAGGAAAAAAACACAGTAGGCAGCTTTATTTTTGACAATAGCTGCTCCTGAAGATGTTTTTAATCATTTTCTATCCACTCAGGCAGAGAGAGTTATCTGTGAAACTGTTACAAATATTTGAAAAGTGTTGCAGTGCCCTTGAAATGAGCAGTATGTTTTTAAACTAATAGTGTACAAAGAAGGTGAAGGCCTAACATAGTTTGTAATTGAGCTAAGGTTTCCCAGTCAATCTTGCAATTTCAGGGATGGCAAAACAGCAGCTTGTTAGCTGTAACAAAAAAACTTGCCCCAAACCCTTAAATTCCAAGACAGTGAGAGTGGGAAACAAAGAAGTACTACTGTGAAGATAATTAACCCTTGACAACAAAACTAAAATTTCTTACACAAAGGAGACCTTCCTAGCTCACATTGAAGCTCAGGGCAAATGTTAGCACTCCCACAGCTGACTTATAGATTATCTGAAATATCTTATCAGAAAAGAAAAAAGCAAGTCCTAAACCCAAAGGCCATAAAAACAGATCATGGATCTCCTTGAAGTATGGAAAAACCACAAGGCACGACTGGAAAGAAATTTCCAGGAGCTGCAATGATTTTCTTGTCTTGCCAGGGCATTCAGGCATTAGAAGTCATGACAACAGGAAGAGCATTTGGATGCCTTCAGTAGGATTCCTTTTTGCTCTACCCTTTATTTTCTCCTTCACACATGTGAGGGTGGAGAAGGTGGCTCAGATGAATCTTTTTGCTTTTGCCCAGGTGCCAGAAGCAAACCCTGGTATCCTGCATAGTGAAATACAACAGGATGGAGACATACACATCACTAGAGGGGCTGAGGGACATCTCTTGCCCTGGTTGCATACCTGTTTAGTCCCAATGCTTTAGGAGTTGCCTGGGTTGACGTTGCTCTTTAGTGGTGCCAGACATTTTTCTGGATGTGACTGTGAGTTCTGAACACTGTCACTGCCCAAGTATGAATGTAAATGATGTCAGCAGAGAATGGTGTCAGGTCCTGTTTGCTCAGAGGTGCTCTTCTTAATAGTGTTGGAGGAGATGCTAAATGGGTTGACCTGAAACCAAGTGATGTACCAAGAATGTTCTAGACAGCCTGCTGGGAACAAGGACACAGGCATTACACACAGTGTTACTGGCACAAAGAGGAATTTTCAAATGTACTGTCAGAAAAAGCATAAATTTTATTCCCTCTGAGGGTTTATTAGAGATGTGTGTAAGAGTAAGTCATAAAATGTGAGAAATGCATTGATGTTAATAGTCAGAGGTAATATGTATCAAGGGTTGAGTCACTTTCAAGGGACACCATTACTAGAGTGGCTGTGGATCAAAACTAGTGAGAAGTGTTTGAGGACACCTTCCAAGAGATTAAGTGACATTTATCCTACTGCTGACTATTAGATAAAATGGAGAATCCCCTGGATTTGCCAGTCCAGCAAAAGTTACCTCCAACTTCAGGTAGAAAGAAGGAATGGAAGGAAGAGGCATTGATCTAGTACTCACTGCTGGGGTAAGAACAGAAGAAATAAGCCTTTTAGAAGAAAAACAAAAAAAAACCAAAACCCTAAACCCCTCAAGAAACCCAAGGAAAATTGTATAGCAATATCAAGAGCTGCTGAGATATACTGATTTTACCAAACCCCAGAAACAAAAGAAGGGTGATCAGGTTCAGAAGAGCTCTTGACTGAATAGAGAGATTTACCTCAAATACTCTGCATACAACTCTCTGGACTGAGAATGCTTCAAGTCCCTTCATGTTTTTATCAGTCCAAAAGTTTAGGGGGAAGCAGTAGTTTGATGACTAAAAAATGATGGAGAACAGGACTGTTAAAATTGGAGCTTATAAGATCTGAATGTATGATTAGCATGCAAAACCAAACATATGTAATGATTTATAGCTCCTGTCTTAGCCAAGGCTGTCTTGAGCAAATGACATCTGCACTGGGGACCAGAACTAAAGTGCTGATTCTGTGTTCCTGTGTACATTCTGGATTACTGTCAGAAAGAAATTAAACAGAAACAATCCAGGGCTTTTGTGTCTCTGCCCTCCCAGGCTGGTACCTCAGTAACTAGGCTGACCAAAGGAACTTCTGCCTGCCCTTCTGTCTCACTGGGCTGTGGCTGTGCTCCTGCCTGGGAGATGCCTCAGTGCCAGGAGAAACTGTGCAGATCTGTCCTGCCCAGGATGTGCAATGGCTTGGTGGTGGGATTCCTATCTGCAGATGCTGAAGAAAGTTTTTTCATAATCTTCAAGTCCTAGAGGACCTTCCCAGCCCAACAATCAGAATCTGTTCTCAAGGGAAGCCTAGGGTCAGAAGAACCTGCTAGTTCTAGGGGAGCAGTTAAGGAACTGGAAATTATTAGCAGTCTGAACACAGACTGTGTGAAAGAAGACTTGAACCCAATCATATGTGCAGCATGACTGGTGGCCAAAGGAAGAGTGTGGAAAGCAAAGTGTGAGCATTTTCATGTGTAGAGGGGGTGCAAGAGCTAGACACTTCTGAGATTTACTGGATTATCTGGAAATGAAACAATTTCTGGTACAAGGAAGAAATAGAGCTGAAACTGTTTAGGAAAAGAACAAAATCCTGTTTGTTGTTCTTCTTTCTAAGAAAAGTCTGTTGTTTAAGGACAGTGATTCTAAACATATGACAGAGAAAATAGTATTAGCAAAGCAGTTGTGTGCTCAAAATATCCATGCTTAAAAAATTTAGTGATTTCATATACTGCTTTGTTTTGGATTGCTTGACAGAGGCATAAAGTTAGATTTGCTGGGTCCTTTTGTTATTTGTATGAACATTTTATTTGCATGTACAGTTAAGCCCTAAATATGTTTTAAGAATATACTCTTATGAATTTGGGCCAAGTTCTTAAATGCAAGACAGATTTGGAATAACATGCATGACTTCCTAGGATACCTAAGGCACTGGATTAATCATGGCATGAGATGTGCCCATATTGAGGGACTTTGAGCTTTTTAATCTCATCCATGTTTGTTGTAACATTTTGACTTGCATGAATCCAAGAATGCAGAAGGAAAATGGGACATGAAATAAACCTCATCCAGCATCTTTATCAATGCAGTACATTTCTCCCAACAGGCCAGAGTGTGCCTAATCAGACAATGAAAGGCCAAGAGACTCGCCAGGAGACTACAAATCCATTAATTTGGTATCACTTGTGGGAAAAAGCTGGAAGCAATTGCAGGATTTGTTAAGCAAAAGGCTTGGCGAAGTCAATTGATTAGGGAGGTTTCAGAGAAAGCTGTTCTTGCTGAGCTGCCAAGGTAGAAGGTCCAGGAAATTTTAAAGTATCTTGTTGGCACCATATGAAACAGAATGGGTGCTTGCATGTAAGAAAAGCTGAAAAACTATATGAAGGTGGTTTTTTTGGTTTTTTTTAAGAGAGGACAAGTATCTGATATTTCAGCAGGTATCCAGTCCATGGTCTCATTTTGCTACATTAAATCTCCACAGAGCCCAGTGCATACAAGAGGCTGATAAATGCAACTATTTTAATAAATACTCATTATAAGTGTTAAAGAATCTCTGTCAAGAGAAAAACCTTTCCTAAGATAAAACTGTTCTTAAATAGGGGAGAGTCTCACTCAGCAAGTGCATAACTCAGTGTTTGTCCATTTTTTTTTTGTTCCTTGTCCCCTGCACCAGCTGAAATATCAAAACCAGGAGAGAGAGTCAATGATTTCTACAGCACCCCAAATTAAAAGCTATCCTCAAATGCTCCAGGATTTCAGAAGAAATGATGATACATCTCTGAATAAAGTGGAATTATGTCCAAATCTGCTAAAAATTGAATGGGGAGAAGGTATTACAGCAAGAATTTTCACACAGTCAGTAAGATGTAAAAAAAAAAAAATCTGTTATAGATGGCCTCTATTTCAAAGATAATGAGGTAAAGAGACCCAGGTTGGGTGTCTGGAGAGAAAGAGCTGCTCCACAGCATCTTTCCAGAGACAGCATGGAGACACAGGGATGAACTAAAGCCTGACTGCTGTGGTCTGTGAGGCAGCCAAGGGAAGAGGGTCTGTGTGACCAGAATGAGACACACGGTGAGGTGCTTTGGAGCGCTTCTGAACAACGCAAGCTCCATCTGTGCAAAAGCTCACACAGAGCTGTGCCTCAGTGATCTTTTCCCCATGTGAAGGGAGCAGGCTCAGGTAAAGGTTGGCACCTGGCAAATTGCTGCCCAGGGAGAAATGGCCAGGCCCAGCATGGAGCAGAGCCAGCGGTCAGTGACACCCCTTGCACATCTCTGCAGATGACACTGCTGGCCAGGGGAACGACTGGCTGGGCCCAGGGGTGAAAGGACACTGTGCAGGGAACCCACACCTGAGCACACAGCCCCTGCCCTGTCAGCTTGCCTGCTGGGGGAGGCCAGCTGCGATGTTGGGACGGGAGAGCAGAGCGTGGCGCAGGACTGCCGGCTCCTTGCCAGGCTGAGCAGGCAGGGCAGGGAGAGATGAGCAGCTCATGGGGTATCCGTGCTCACAGTGAAGTGTGGGGCAGCAGCCACAGAACAACAGGAGCAGCCACTCACATAAGCTGTTGCAAGGAATCCAGACACATTGGGATTTTCTTCTCTACAGTGACCTGGCCAAGACTCAAAGACCTGAAGAGACAGTGTCAACTCTAAGTTGCCATCCTGTTGGTTGTCAGAAAAAACACTTAGGAAAATGACTGTCCTTTTCTATTGTCTGATTCTCTACCCATTCCTAGTGGAAAGGGAAAGGAAGTAAGGACTTATTTTTTATGTTTCAAGAAGTGCTTACATAAAAAGACAGGTTCCAAGGGAAAAAAACCAAAATATTTCTGACATGCTTGTTCTTTGTAATAAGAATACAAAAATGGTTTAATGTGGTTGGTTGCTTCTTTAGGATTCTTTGCACTTTTCTTTACACAAACAAAACAAAGGGGCAATGACTGGGCTACTGAAAAAAACCAAAAACAAGTATTTTTTCTCCCCATGGAGGAGAAGAAAGAAACTGAGAGAAGTTTGTGCTCCCTTGATGAAAAAAGACAATATATTCTGATCTGAGGGACTTGTGGTTCTGACAACGGAGAGGTCAGTTAGAAGAACTCCTAAAATAAGCAAAATAATTATCATCTTTCCTCAGGGGCACCTATGAAACCCTCACATATTTATCAGTGGGAATAAAACTTGGACATTCTGTTCAGGCTAAGGTGGCACAACTACAGCTGCCGGTGGTGGACTTCTGGCAAGATCCATGGACTGGTGATGCTGCCTGTGGGAGGTGGAAGAGAGGAGAGAAAGTGCCCTCATGGTGAATGTGGTATGTCTAGTATGTGAGGGGCACATGAAGTTCCCTGGTGGCTTCTAGCTGCCAGCCTGGATGCAGGTAGGGGGACAGGGCACATAATCTCAAGGAAGGTAGCCCGTGCAAGAATTGTGATTGCTTGTCCCTCCTTGGCATATTTGAAAGGGAGGATTGGTCAAGACTAGCCACTCACAGCCTGGAGTAATGTCTCTGGGGCTGCCTCTCCCTGTCCCTGAAGCGTGTGTCCTGCCCTTTTTCCCTCACAGGCATGGTTAATTATCTTGCAGCCAGTTTAATGAGCTGAATCAGTTCACCAAGGACAGAGTGAGAGCGAGAGCCGATTTGAGAGAAGCAGCCAGACACACATCCAAATGCATGCAGGGGAGAGGGGAGGAGAGGAGTAGGGAGAGGGAGTGTCCTTCAGCCATGCCTGTGAGCAGCTGGAGTCAGCCTATCTCATCTTGGTAAATCTCACCCAAAACAGAGCGTAGCCACTGCTGGGGCTGCCCCAGGCTGGCCTGGGGGACTCCCACCTTCTCACACTTCTCCTGTTGGAAACAGTTGCCTTCCCTGGAGCATATTCTGCTGCTGGGTCAGGTTTTCAGAGAAACAGACCCCAAAATCCCATGTCCCAGGAAACTAGACCGGTTTAGTTCATGTATCTACAGGCATGGGCTGGCCTATGACCAAAACCACCTAAAATGTTTTCTGTGCATCGGCATCTGTCCTTGGGTGCTGCTTACTTCTCTGAGGAAACCACCGACATCTCCTCAAGAAACAGAAGCGTTCAAACAATGGCATTCTAATTTCTGGTACCAGAGGCTTTGCATGTACTAAAAAAAGGCATAGCCATCATGGCTTACTTACAGGCTTGGGAGGAGGGTTTGGCAGGGAAAAAATCTCTGCAAAAAGTCTTTTGGAAGCGACCCCTCCTCTCTGTGCTGCTGACAGTCTTGGCAATGTCCAGATCACGACTCTTGGCTGCAATCCAAGTTTCTCCTGGATGCACTTATTGAATCTCCTCCCCTTATTTTCCCCAGTGTGTTTGGAAGACAAAGCCACACAATGGGGTTTCGTGAAAGAGTTTCATTTTCTGCCCCAAGTGCTGCTTCCCAGGGGAAGAAAAAACATCCACACCCTTTAATTATTATTAGTTGTTGCCTTTCAGTTTTGAAGACCTAGTCTTGATGCCACACTTTCTAGAGCTCAGTGGTGGGCTGTAATCAGTTCTGGCCAGGACTCTTGGCAAATGCATCAGTGCAGTATCTCCTTGGAAGATTTTTTCCTCTGCAATTTGTCAGGAATTATAGACATACTTCCAAACCTTCTGTTGGCAGAGTGGTGCATAGGTATAGCAGGAAGTATGTTTGTGTGCTTATAGTAAGTTAACACATACCTAAACCCAAAGGTGTAATAAGATTAGTAAATTTTGAGGTGAAGTATCCAGTCTCAGTTTTGAGGAGAACATATTCCCTGGGAGTCTGTAAGGACCTGGCATGCTCAATGAAGTGCTTTAAAAGTACTTGAATGAAATGGTATCTGTGTCTTGGACAAGATAATCTATTTTCAGGCATGATGTTTTGACATTCTCTCTTCACATCAATGCTTCATGGTTCCTGAAGAGAAACTCATCAATCTGGGGCAACAATTATATAGGAAACCTCACAGGACGCAGAATTTAAGCAAAGGGTATATGGATTAGTGATTTGAAATGCATAGGGGAGACAGCTAAGCTGGGTCCTTGAAGAGTGTGAATTGTTTAAATATCAGTTAGCAGGATCACAGAGGAGAAATCCAGGATGATATTGCTCTTAACAGAAGTTGCCCGAGATCCCCTCAGCATGTTTGACACTGGGCAGGGGAAAGCTGTGAGTGGAAAACTTGCTGTGCAGCTGATTCAGTGCAGATCCTTTGTGGAGTAGACAACAACTCCTCAGTTGGATGGATGGGTAGGTGGAGGGAGGGATTCAGTCTGTTCCCATAGCTTCAGGTGTGCTTGCTGAAACTCTCTAGAGGGAGAATATCTCTGTGTTGGGGCAACCTTGAAAATGGTTTTGAAGTCCCACATCTACATACAGCCGAATAATACTGCTAGATAAAAGTGACTTGTCAAAGCACATTGCATTTTCACCTTCATAAGACCATTATTTCCAGCTGATCCTGTCTAAAATAAGAAATAAAAATCAATAAATCCCATATCCATGTAATCTATTCTTAAAATGCAATGGAACCCCATCAGTAATGTCTGGTAATTTGCTATCAGCTTGGTCAAGGGCAGACAAATTACTTAATTACATGTAACAGTTATTCTGTAAAGACTTAGGAAAACACAGATAAACGTAACTAATCCCTTTTTATTTATTCCCTGCAAACAAAAGCCTAAGGGTTTCCGGAGAGGGGAAAAAAAAAATAAAAAAAATAAAAAAAAGCTGTGCAATTAACATAATTAGCGGCGGCTGTCGCTCAAACACGGCGGGCTCCGTGCGCTGCCCGTGCAATGCGGCGCTGCCGCCACCGGGCGGCGCCGTGCGCAGGCGGCCGCTCCCGGGGCCGCTCCCGGGGCCGCTCCC